CCCCGAAGGAGGGGTTGGTCAAGTGTTTTAACCCTCCATTCGGGGGGTTTAGTTTAGTTTCTTACACAAGATTTTAAAACGCAATCAACCCCTCCCCCCCCCGAAGGGGTTTGTTGCTTTTTAAAAACTTGGCCAGCCGCTCCGAGGAGCTCCGAAAGGAGCGTTCTGCCCTAGTTATATAAAAACTTACTGCTTAGTTCTAAATTAATAAATAAGATCACAAGAAGTTAATCTCACTTCCTGAGACCCAGAATCATTACAATGAACGTAACTATTTAGTTTTATTGTCAATACTGGGCATTGATTGATGTTTCTATTTCGACGCAGAAGTATGTCTGACGACAAATTTGCTAGTTCCGGGTTTGCGGGCGGCAAGTCGAGAATGTTACTGAATGTGACAACCGCTTTGATAGACAAGCCTAACGGATCAGCAAAGTTTGTTTCCACTGACACATATACTCTGGATTGACATGCAAACTGCGTCTCAAAAACGAGAATATAAATACGTTTTTATATACAACTATTGTGATAGTAGAACCAGGTGGTTCGGCAACGCCGTCACAAACACCGGACGCCGTCGGATGCCAGTTCCATTGTCACAAGCTGTTTCTCCGTGATCCATCGTGTTATTGTCCACATCATTCACAGTTTTTCAAATAACGGGTTTTAAATACGCTTTCCCACCAAAACTGTATGCATTACTTTTTTCTCCATACCTCCAAATGACAGATTTTAATTTTAACTTTATCATCAAAATTCTACATGCATTTATTGTCTCCCCGTCATACCTGTATGCCGAACCATCGCAGCCTTTTAGACTTCAATGTTCCGACAGAACTAACTCAGCTGCGAAATATTTGAAATAGGACACAATCATTTTCATCCCGATTTATGAACGATTATCAGTAAGGATAATTAATACATGCACTTCAAGTTTCGAGGAAAACCTACAACGTCTAATCCTGCCGAGTCCAAAATTTATTACAGCCAAAAACAAGTTGAAGATTTCTGTCTTCTGGGTTGTTGTGCTGTGTAGTCTGGTCGATGTTTACCAACGTTTCAGAGGTCATACTGTCTCCATCATCAGGGCGATGAGTATGAAGATTTCTGTCTTCTAGGTTGTTGCGCTGTGTAGTCT